CACACACACACACACACACACACACACACACACACACACACACACACACACACACACACACACACACACACCTCATCTCCACATTCATATCAGACCTGGAGCAGAAACGGACTTTAAAGGTGTTTTTTAAATTTTATTTAATAATGGATTAATGGAGTCTTTTATACAAATATCTTTCCTGACTCGATAGCAAGCAGCCTTTTGTTTTCCAGTTATCTAAAGGGGAAAAAACCATCAATCCCATTGGGGAATGTTTTATCAGCACACATTTGACTGTGAAAGGAGGAAATTAGCATGAGTAGTCCTCCCTCTGCATCTAAAACGTAACGTTTTTGGGCAAACTCTACATGACGTAATAATGGGAAGGCAGTTTGTTCTGATCAAATAATAAATCTTGAAATACATGAGTTTAATTTATAATATTTACCTCCCTCTATTATGCTTTGTCTCCTTCCTTTAATCTGTTGTCTTTTTTCTGTTCCACCCCGACAAGATGGTGGACGTTTACGTGCCAGGAGAACTCTGGGAACACAGAAGAGGTCCAGGACGAGACTTTTATTATTGAAGCTTGCTGTTTAATTCAGCGGCTGTGTCAAATGTTGGCAAGACCCTTCTATCATCTGCGCTGTAATACGCATCTAATTTCCCCGGCCAAACACACATTTATATCCCTCTCAGCGCATCGCCTCTTACACAACCAGACAGTTGGTGGTCAAGGTCGTTTTCCCCTCAAGATAAACAAGCTTTTTATTCAAAAAGCTGCAACGGCTTTTGAATAAAGTTGTTACAACGTATATTTATCACATCAGCGCGCAGTTGTCAGGAAATATCGGGTTTTTTATACGCCTCTGGTTTACAATGAGTTCGCCTCGGACGCGCACAGGCTTGGCAGGTTTTTGAGCGGCTGCGTGCGTCGCGAGCAGATACGCATCTCGTGGGTTTATTGTGATGACAACAGCGAGAGGCGAATTCATTCGAAGCACAGATGTCGGTCTCAGTTTGTGGGCTCGTAACTTCGGGGCTCATTGAGTTCACTTGTTGGAACGTGAAGGCTTTGAGTGACCTCAGTGAGTCCAAGAAGACAAAAGAAATGAGTAATGAGGCGGTGTCAATAAAGGCTGTTTCTGAATTACCAACCCTTGTTTGATTTCTGTCTCCCCTCATCTTTGTGTCTTTGTTTCAGGGCTCGGCTGGTACTAAAGGAGATAAAGGAGAAAGAGTAAGTCTTTTCCACTTCAGCCACTGTTTGAGCAGATTAAAATTAGCCGCTCCACTTTGCTGTGGAAACACTCGCTCTCTGTTCACACCCTTGTTTTGAAGTAAATTGCATTACAGGGCCGCCACTTCCCCGCGCCAGCACACGGGCTTCTGTCTCGTCCACACCCTCAGGCTCATTTAGAGCAAAACCAAATTAAATCAGTGTTCGTAGCACAGCGGCGCAGTCCCTGGGTTTTTTGCTGACGCGGCAGCGGGGCTGTCGCTGCCGAGGGCTTGTGGGGCGCGCTTCTACGCCGACTCGAATCAAACCTGAATTCCTGCTATGCTTCATTTCGTCAGCTGTTGGGGACATTTGCTCCTTGCTTTGGGTAATTATTGTTTGGAGACTCAACATAAAAGTGTTCWTGAAAAACATACATAACAGGATTTTTCTGCTCAGTGTTGCAGATTTTAGGGAGGTGGCCCAGTTCTGAGTGAAGCTGGTGTAATAATCAAGCGTCTAAAAAAAATCTTTTTACTTGAAAACTAATTAGGGTTTGTCTTATAACATTAAATAAAACGTAAAACAGACTGTCACAAAATATAGATTTTGAATTAATTCAAAACAATACAGAATTAACTAATTTGTGCTGTGATTTGTGWGTTAAAATATAAAGAAAGAAAAATAACGTGAACATCCATGCAAAAAAACCCATCAAAATTTAGCTCTAAGACCTGCAGTGTGAACATAGCCTATGAATGGAAGAAATTATTAATTTTACCCTTTTTGCATTTCTTAGTTTTATGAAAGACTGCAGCTATACTTTACAAAACTAAAGTAGTGCAAGCGATTTATGTTGATGCTTTTATTTTGAAGTGTACCGGAAGTTCTGTGTTCAGCGAAGCACAAGTTAATAAAGACACCGCCAATGTTGGACCGGCTAACACGAGCTGCCTGGTTTTATCATTTCCAAAACATAACCAACATCCAAATACGCTCAGTTACAGAAGTACAAAAAGAGCAACACTACAAAAATTTTAAAATATATAAATTTTAAGAATAAATTATAAAAACTTAAACATAATATGATAATAATGTGCTACGTATTTTCATCAGTGCATGTTTCCATACACTGATTAAATTTGTGCTCTGCATTTAACAAGTGATATACACCAAAGTGAAGCAATAGAATAGAATAGAATAGAATAGAATAGAATAGAATAGAATAGAATAAAATAGTCATTATTGTAATTGCACAAGCCTGAACAACAAAATTAAACTATTACAGAAAGACGAGCAACATATACAGGATGTGTACATAATGAGGAAGGATTTGGTAAGATTTAGTGACAAAACTAATATTTTTTAAACGCGCTGGGAGCAGTTGGGAATTAAGTGTCTTGCTCAAGGRCACCATGGTGTAGACATGGTGGAGAAATGAAACTGTGACTTAATGGTCCTATGTCGGCTGCCCYACCACTGCACTACACCCAACTCACTGATGCTATAATCAATATGTATATAAGCTACTGTGTGTGCTATAAGCTGATGACAAMTTATATCACCTGTACTGTATATTAAAGGCACACATAAAGATTGTACTCTTATTTAATTGTTRCTTATGTGATCTTGAAAAAAGCAAATATTTTACTCAACCTAAAATAACACTGGTAGTTATTTTGGAACTCTGTGTTAAATTTATCAGAAGCCTGAATAAGACAGGACCTCTGCTCTGTTCTCCATAAAGGAATAAAGTTTATTTGAATTTTGAATGAACACATTACATCCTGTTATTTGTTGCTAAAATTGACAGCAAAAAAATAAATGTGAAAAAGTTGGTGTGGATTAAAGGAGGCGAGTACTTAATTCTTAATCGCTGCCTAATAATTGATCAACCATCGTACTGGAACGTTATGTCCCTGTTTCTTCAGAGCGGCGTCACCCTGCTGCTTGTTTTTGTTTGTTCAGGGTGAGGTGATGTCCCAGTCTGCAGTCAGAGCCATTGCACGACAAGTGTGTGAGCAGCTCATCCAAAGTGAGTAATGTTTTTTTATAAAAGAGCACGAATGAATGAAATGTTCTTAGTTTCTGCAGAGCTTAATTTTGTATTATTAACTGTTTTTCTCCCCCATCCTCTTCTACCTGCAGGTTATTTGTCTCGCTACAACTCCATCTTAAACCAGATCCCCCTCCAGTCATCAACATCAGTCAGAACGGTACCAGGACCGCCTGGAGAGCCGGGTAGGAGAGGTCCTCCTGGTCCTCAGGGAGAGGCGGGCCCTCCTGGCAGGCCCGGTTTCCCCGGTACCAACGGTCAGAATGGCCAACCAGGTGAAAGAGGTGAGASTGAAGTTAATCTCTCATCATAAGTGATACTGTTTTATGTTGTTTGTTGTTTACAAGCAGTGAAATCAGTTTGACAGAATGAACAGAGTTGTTACTGCAAATCAGTTCAAATCCTTTTAATTGGGGTGCCGTGGAAAGGGTATGAACAATTAAGGTCTTACCTGTTGTAGATAGCTCTTTGAACAACTACTTTGGAGAAACTGAGTTACAGAACTAAATTGCAGCTTTATAACAAAAAAAAAACAGTGTTCAGATCATGTGAATGTTGTGTTTTTAAGACATGAACAGAGCAAACAACAGAATATAGCATTAATTTTCTAATTATCAAAAGTAAAATTGTATAAAAAAAATCTAATTTCTCTCCTGATTAGATAGTGAAAAATAAACCTAAATCTTTRCAATTCAACTTAGGGCTCTGTGTGGTGTAAAAAAATAACCAGAGGGGAGAGTTGAGCACAAATTATGAGCGTAGCTTTAAATTCTAGTAGTTGATCTGCTTCAAACAATCAGTTTTTACCTGCATAGGCAACAGTAGCATTTTATATCTATACCAYAGAACAGGCACAGATAGGTGACATTTTATAGTTCACATTATCTAAAAAAATAAATTAAAAAAAGATAACCAAGTGACCCAACTGGGAACTGAAAATTCAATTTTGAAATGAAATTATTGACTCTGTCTTTTCCAGCACCTGAGCAGTGTGCCAACWCAAACACATGGACTTAGTGACATAAAAATGTTTAAGTAGTTAACCTGACTACGTATCTACTAACCAGATGTAGACATTTACAAAAGTTTTACATCTAGGCTATATCTAGTCCAATTGTTGCTTAGGCATCTGTTCAACCAAAAAATGCTAGTTTCGGGTCACACACCTGTATTTAGGCTACATTTCAGGTCGATGTCAATAGTGAATTATATTTACACTATTTTTATAAACTTGTGAACATCTTCCACTTCTAAATCACATGATATCACTGAAAGTTTTTACTCTATTTTGTATGATTTAGTTAAAAAAAAGATATACAGCATAGTTTTGAGACKTTTGTTCTCGTCCCCACAGCCAAACTTTTCTGATTAGAAATGTTTAAGTTGGACTGAACCAACCCAAAGTGGAGGGAGAAAAAGGAGCATAGAATGCTGCTGTGTGTGTTTTTGTTTAGTTTATGCGGAACAACACCTGAATTAAATAAAATAATAAACTAGAAGCAGTACTGACTGTGTTTGGTGTCAGTTTTGGGCTCAAATTGATTCTGTTTCTGAGATTCAGCAACAGCTAGAAACAACCAGTCTATAAAACTTTACAGTCTATAAAATAGTGTTTTTATTATCAGAACAACAAGAATACAAAAACATACATTGTAATATAATAAAAAACAGCTCAATAAAAAAGAACAAATAGTCTAATGTTCCAGTTGACATGTGCCATCCTGCCTGTTTGCTGTTTTTTTTTTTTTTTCGTCAGGCCCTCATAAATCACAATAAAAACCGTATTTTTTAAATCCATGAGGTCATTGTTCTGCCACAGAGTCTTTAGTGGTCAGGTTTTATGAGTCTCTGTCTTCATCACTGAAACATGCAGCCCACACTGAAGATTCATATTCTGAGTGAACACACAGAGGACAGAGAAGTGAAAACTGCTCAGCGTCTGTCAGGGAGAGTTCAGCGTTCAGCGCTGATGTGTCCTCTTCAGGGCTTCAAACCTTCGAGTCCTTCCAGTAAAAATGTATCATCTGTAGCTGCTGGTCTACCAAACTCCTACAACCCGCTTTAAAAGCTGATCTGTAGCGGCAGCCAGCCAAAGATGATGTGCTCGGGTTAAAAAAAAGGTTGTGAAACGCAAAAACCCTAATTTATTTTTCAGACCCAACTAACAAGTTTGTGGAGACGTTTAAAAGACATTTTAAAGACAAAGTTGTTGCTGTGAAAATTGTTTAATTTTTATTGGAGGTTTTGAWGTGTTTTCTGTAGGCAGTTAAACAGTTGTAAAACCAGCAGGACATAATTCACTGATCAGAGTTCGGGTTCATCTTTATGACAAATAACTCATGAGGTCATTCAAACAGCTGCATTACTGACACATCAGCACAGAACAGACTCTGGTTCATCATGTTTCATCAAACTTGACTGCAGCAGAACTTTTATTATTCTCAAAAATCCTTTTCGAAGTTTTTGACTTAAAGACTTTTTCAGTTCAACCTGAGGTGCATCAGGTAATAAACACCAGGAACTGATTGAATTCTGTTAATTTTTCAAAAAGAAAGGGGGGGGGGTCCTTTCTCCATCTCCCCACTTGTTTGGGGTCCCATTCTGAAGAACCTTGAAGCATGTGATTCAAACAGTGGTTCTCAATTATTTTCTGTTAGGCCCCTTGTAGAGTGGCACCTCACCCCTTCAGGCAGCGGTCAGCCCTGCAAGGCATAAGCCTAAGTGATCAGACCCACAACCCAGTGCCAGCCAGACCTGGTGCCAAGTGTGGACTGAAGGCTGGGTACTCGTGCAGGGGGTGCATGCTCCCTCGCCAGTGGTGTAGGTGTTTATACTTGATGCTATATTGTAGTGTTCTCCAAAATGACCMATRGCAGTAGACTGYAYAACCTGTGAAAATGTTGTAAGTAGAGGAGCAAAAACTTGATGGACAAACAAACTATTTGAAYGGTGCACAGTGCAYRCAGACTTTGTGCASAACCAATGYAGAGAGCATGCGTCCAAGCTCACTCATCATAWGAGCAAAGACCTGCAGAGGCACATAAACCAGACMMTGGGGAGCGGTCATTTGGAACTGATTCAGAMGAGGAGGACAGGGCCAAMATCAGATGGGAGAGGGAGTTCCCAATCTGACCCATACGGGCCCGTGAGTCGTAGACCCTGTAGAGTATGTCRTCTGAAATACGGCACTGCAGCCGTGTACAACAGGCATTAGGCCACAACGCCTCATCTGTCGGGACAATAAGAGAAGCAAGGCCTGGTTCCACAGCTGGCATTTGCCCCAAGTCAAACCTGGATGCCTCCTGCACGGCAGCCAGGGCCCTGCCATCTGTCGTTAGACGTGACAAGGCCTTCAAATTTATCCAACAGGCATGTAACGTCTGTATATATACTCCTCTGAGAGAGGAACCAGAAAAGATGCGTCAGTATTACGGTGCTAGAAAAGGTGCTACAAACAACAGGCTGGGCCAGCGAAACATCTAGCTGCAAACCAGCAAGAGCTGTTCTGATGGCCGCCATCACAGAGTCTTCTTCATCCTCCTGGGAGGCATTGGAGTCTGAACCAGAAGTCCTGGAGCTCAACYCCGAAAGGATCAGGCATCAAGCAGCGAGACAAACAGTGGTAAACACAGAAGCTATTAGCCTAGCTTAACCAAACCTGCATTCAACAAACCCGCACACAAGAAGAACGAAGGGATTGAGCGCCGGATGTCACTGGCAGGTCACAGGTGACTTTGTTGTGATTAATACTCAACCTCAGCACTGACTCCGGAGGTCAGTAGGGATGAAATAGAACTTTTACCATCAATAATTATAGAAAACTGCTAACAAAATCCTAACACAGCTGTATGAGCACCTGAAAACCTTTAAAAAATTACAGCTTTGTCTCTTTTTCTTTGAACTCTCCAGGTTTAGCAGGAGAGAAGGGCGACAGAGGGAGTCCAGGCGTTGGGAGCCAGGGCCCTCGAGGACCACCCGGTCCTCCTGGTAAGAAACAACATGAACCCAAAGACTTTTATTAGACCAAACTAACCGAATTCACTGCCTGCACCCTCTGCTCAGCCTCAGAGCTCAAATAACATTTTTGAGGTTCTACTCCCCAAATATGAGAATTTAAAAGTATTTTGTWCACGGACCTTTTATTTTTGTTGCTTCCAGCCCAGATCCGCACCATTTCTACAGAGTTCTTATTGTGTTGCCTCTGAACTAAAGCAGAGGTGTTTCAAGTATTGAAACAGTGAAATTAAATTTCCCAGAGACCTAAAGCGATTAGGATTTACTTCCCTCCCTACTGAATCTCTGAGCACAGAAAGAAAGCAGATGTTTTAGACCATGAATATAAATCTTTGTATTGATTTTCTCGAGTGCCGTGTGGAGTTTAAGTTTTGTGTTATGAATATATGACAGCGCAGGGATTTTCTGTTTATGCCAATCAATACTCACAGAACAAGCGGAGAAAACTCCCCTGAAACTTTTCTGATTAAATAACAGTTAAAAACAAAAAATAAATAAATAAAAAAACAATGCACATAAATCAAACTTGTGTGTTTGAAAATGGAAGCTTTATTTGCTGGACTTATATAATTGTGGGACAATCATATTTGCACAAAAAAAAAACATTCCTTAAAATATTGATGCTATATTTTTATTGTAGGAGCTATTTCTCCTGTGGAAACATAAAACAACCTCAGGGTTAAATTTGAACTGAACTGTGTTGTTTTGTTTCTGACCTCAGGCCATTCACTGTCAGACCCTTTAGTCAGAAACAAAAACGTCTAAAGCTGGCCAGTTTGTTCTAGTTTAGAAAAAATAATGTAGTTTTAAAAGGGATTTTGTAAAGAAGCTCTGAAAAGTTAAGATCTTATTTGTTGTGGATGACTCTGTGAATGACTTAAATTTGGAAAAATAGTTTAATTCTGACCAAAYTGACAAGCTAAATCTTTAGCTGCTGTGGGCTATAGTCTAGAGGCTTATGTAAAAAAATGTTTGATTTGTGTTTGTTTTTTTAAGTATGTCAAATAACTTGGTTTTTTATCTACATAAAATCATGATCTTGGTGTTCATRATTGAAAACATGGGTTTAGACACTAAGATCATAACGTAGAAACAAGATCAGAGGGCAAAATGTTTATTCTGGTGGCCATTTTGAAAGTTCAAGATGGCCATCGACTAAAATGGAATTTGGTGGTCACCACTGGATCCTTCATTCTTGAAACATGGGCTTRGACTAGAAATCAACCAATACAATAATTTTTTTAAAGCCAATGTCGATACCAGTTATTTGGACATCCAATTTCTTTGGGCCGATTCTTGAAATTGATATTGCTTTTTCTTCTTCCATTTACATAATAAAAATGACACGATCGCAAACGTTACACAAGTCTCAATTTAAACAAAAGCAAAGCATTTAACAACAAAGCAAACAAAACATAACTATGGATAGCAAACAGTGTAACACATTTAGATATATAACAATAAAAACAAACAATCTTAAGATTGTTTTTTATCGTATTGGCGAACACAYGTATCGGCTGGTGCCGATACAAGAAAAAGACACAAACATTCCCAAAATATCGGCCAGTTGCTGTATTGGTTGACCTCTAGCTCAGACACCAAGATCATGGCTTTATGTCGACTAAAAAACAAACAGATTGCAAAATTGGTATTCTGATGGCCATTTTGAAATCTGTCCCATAAAATCCAACRAACGAGAGAAAAGACTGAACCATACTCTCTAAAGTACACTCTAACAGTCCCCAAAAAACATATGACTTGCTTTATAAAAAAAACATACATACACACACAAAAGTACATAAGTCGCTGTACTACCAGTTGTTGATTAAAAACTGCTAGAAAACAGAAAGAAATGCATATTTTCAGTTGCAGATTCACTGCATTCTGAGTGTTTGTGACCAAGCCACCAGCAAGCTGTGTTGTTGTGTTTTGATTGGCCAGGTTATGGAAATCATGGTTTATTTTCATGTGCTTAGTTGGAAAATGGTATCCTAGATTATGCACATTATCTTACTGCCCAATTCTGCTCACATTCTACACACCTCACCTCAGAGCATCCACTTCAGTACACCTGCACCTGAGAGTCTGTGGCTCATGTGGATTCCTGCAATAACTGCAGGAGTTGGAGACAGTAAAAATTAAAGGTAATTATTTAGGCTCAAAACGTCCCTTTTCATAATTTTCTCCACTTATCAGCTGAAGCAGAGAGGTGAGCCCTGAGTGTCATCAGGTGTTCAGCCCGTTCCAGTGTGACCCGCTCCAGGGACATGGACAGGTGGAGGGTTTAACTGGGGCGGTACGCCTGTCAAACAGCAACACAGGTGTCACAAAGAGATCCTACGAAGCTGAGGGGAAGATGAGCACCTTTAAGCAAGAACAGATTTAGTTTTCCACTAACAGTTTGACGCCCAAAACATGTGTTGAGTAACAAATACGTTCTGTTTTATACAGCAGCAAAAAATAAACCAGATCTTTTGTACGTTGTGCTGGTGATGAAGAATTTGCCGTGACACCAGTTGTCTTTAGAGAAACGGTTTCCTCCTTTATTCTGACGAGAACAATAAACAGAAAAGCAACCATCTGCATACATGGATGTATTTTGATGAAAAAGTAAGAGCACCCACCTCTCCCACTGGACATTATTACAGAATGGAGGAGCACACCACAGGGAGTACAAGTAATTTAGCAAAATAATACCACAGAAGAAGAAAGGGGGWGGGGCTTTCAATCTTAAAGTCACACACTTAAAACAATCATAGTGGCTTCCATTGTGTTTAAAGTCGGGTATAAGAGATATCTTATTAAAACAACACAAGACATATTGTGTACTTATAACAAAATACAAATACAAACCGGTTACATTTACATACTTAAAATCTATACAAATCAGATGTGCAGATCTGCAACTCACGCAAGGAGATTAATTTATTAACCTTTGTTGAACCACACAACTCCCTCTGAGATCATAGATCTCTTTTGCCAATGAAGGCAAACTCATGCAGGTTTATGGTCTGTGAGAGGAAACCAGAGTACCTGGAGAAAATAGAATAGAATAGAATAGAATAGAATAGAATAGAATAGAATAGAATAGAATAGAATACCTTTATTGTCATTACACAAGTGCATAACGAGATTAGAGCCACTCCCACAGTAGTACAAATACTCTTTATTTTTTCTATTTCTTTTAATGTGTAACAGGATAAAATTAGCTAAAATATGCCTACATATCTGCATATATATATATATATATATATATA